TTGCATCCAATCATCAATTAATGGTAGTAAAACAGTGGGTCTCCCACCAATTGCTTCAATTCCTCAATTAAACGAACCAATTTTGGGATTAAAATCAAGAACAAATGGGGCGAACGAAATTGGCATCTTCCATGCAATTGAAGGCCATAATCTGCTTCAACCCACTAATTCAACCTCGGGAAACTCAATCCAAGCATAAAATCACTGGCTCAGGTCTCAGTTTCTCAAATTGAAGCATCAATTCCATCAATTTCGAGGTCAAGACATTCCTTTGACCGTGTGCAATCTGCCCCCATGAATTCTTAAATTTCTGGTCAGCTTCTGGGCATAGAACCATCACCATTGGATTGGGAACCTCAAAAACCCCCTAAGTGGGGTGTTTGGACAGAGATTGGTCATTCTCTTCATCCTTTTGCAAGCAATTTGGTTGGTACTAAACAGGTTTCTCACTTTTTTGTCTTTTAGCTATATTTTCTTTCCATATTTTGGCTTTTTTATTTCACGTGCCAGTGCCATTGACCGCCCTCTTTATAGGCTGGGTTCTCCCATTGAACTACTGAATATTCTTCTTAAATTATGGCCCAATAAGCTAAAAGTAAAAAAGGCTTGAAGGTCTTTATTGGACCTTGCTTTTGGATTATGTAAAGTTAGGCTACAGGAATTGTTTTTTCTTGAGCTTCACAACTCCTCATCCGGTTTCAAATTTTGGACCCACTTGATAATTCTATGAAAAATCAACTCGTTGGGCGGTGAATTCGACGACAAGAGGCTATTTCTATGAACTCACATCCAATAGCCCATGTAAGATGGCTGAATGATGCGAAACACACTGCCGTCACCATATATTGATCAGCTGCAAAGCGGCACTACCGATTCTTCAAATACGACTATTGCCTCATTTGAATGGGAGCCTGCCATCCTCCTCAGCTTCAAATCCACTGGAAATTTTCACAACACGATTTATGAGGCCTGCCACTCCTATTCAAGATGGATTTTCTTCCAGTAGCTCAAGATGTTGCTGTCAACAGTCATTTATTTTAAAATGGCATCATGAATTTGATGGCTTGGGCTCGACAATTTTCGGAATATCCTACCCCAAAGTAGAAGTCCATTTTGGCAATTATAATGGTGGCTAAACAGGTGAGAAGGAAGATATTGTCAAACACATACTGTAATATGCTCAGCCGAACTGACTGCAATTTGGAAAATTTGAGCTGTTGTTTTGGTTCTTGTTGGAGAGAATTTCAAAATGAAAAGAATAATGCTGAACCTGTCGGTGGCATACTCTCGACGTCGACAACTTATAAAAAGGGGAGTAATAATTTTAATTATTCCTCTTTCATTCATATTCTTACCTCTTCATGCCTACAATTTTCTTTTACTCATTTCAATTACTATCTGTCATTAATTCTATACTACATTTTACGAGGTTTTGCACCTGAGACTTGCTTTGGTTCGGTTGCTAGTCACCAATGAAGTAAATGAGCGTACCAATGCAAAAAAGACGATCACTTGGCTCTGTTGAACTTCCTGGGAGACCACAGTTCGGACATACTCATGCCTTTGGGCTTTGGAATGAGCTAATCGGGAAAACTAAAATCAGAGCCCATACCAGATTCTGTATTGTACGCAAAATGGGCCAATTATTTGGCCCAAACTGGATGGTAGAAGCTCTACAATCCATTACAATTCTCTGAAGCTCCGCAACCTCCGCTGACTGAAGCAATGCACACGCCCCTGCAATAGCTGGAGGTTGGAGCTTTGACCTCTGCCTCTACAGGTATTAACTCAATTTGCTCTAGAAAATTCGAAATCAAATAATCAATATCACTATTTTTTATTTGCTACTTGCTCGTTGCTAGTGCTCTTGAGTTGTGAACCTGTCTGAATTTTGCTATTAATTATGATTCTGGAATCTGGATTTCTGGGTCACTGGGTGACCACGGCAAACGCTGGATTTGGTTGATATATATCCATTCCACCATTGCCTAACTTTTTTCCTTTTTCTCTCTTGTTGTTTCCTTCTTTCTGCCGGCGAAGTTTGTCTCTGTATTCATGTATATCCAAGGAAAAAATGGGTTATTGGTTATATATATGCCACATGGAATTCACTTATACCACAAATTGCAAGGGAAACCCCTTTTCTTCAATTTAACATAACATTAGTCCTTAACTTCCATTGGATATAAAATTTAACCATCTTACTTTTTTTAATAATATATAAGTAAACCACCAAAATAAATCTTTATCCATCCTAAAACTTCAAATATTTTTGATTTGTAAATTAATCCCAATAAAATAATTTACTTAAGTATTTACGATCATTGATTGTCAACGGTCATCGATCAACAATCATCGGGACATGTTACGTGCATGATCTCCCAAAAAAGCCCTGTCACGAGCAGGCCATCAAAGCCTTGCCCCGAGCAAGCACCTCAAAGCCTTGCCCCGTGCAAGCACACAAGTCTTGCCCAGCGCAAGCACCTCTAAGCCTTGCCCCGCGCAAGCACATCAAAGCCTTGCCCCGCGCAAGCACTTCAAAGCCTTGCCCCCGAGCAAGCACCTCAAAGCCTTGCCCCGTGCAAGCACACAAGCCTTGTCCAGTGCAAGCACCTCTAAGCCTTGCCCCGCGCAAGTACATCAAAGCCTTGCCCCGCGCAAGCACTTCAAAGCCTTGCCCCNTAATAATATATAAGTAAACCCCCAAAATAAATCTTTATCCATCCTAAAACTTCAAATATTTTTGATTTGTAAATTAATCCCAATAAAATAATTTACTTAAGTCTTTACGATCATTGATTGTCAACGGTCATCGATCAACAATCATCGGGACATGTTACGTGCATGATCTCCCAAAAAAGCCCTGTCACGAGCAGGCCATCAAAGCCGTGCCCCGAGCAAGGACCTCAAAGCCTTGCCCCGTGCAAGCACACAAGCCTTGCCCAGCGCAAGCACCTCTAAGCCTTACCCCGCGCAAGCACATCAAAGCCTTGCCCCCGAGCAAGCACCTCAAAGCCTTGCCCCGTGCAAGCACACAAACCTTGCCCAGCGCAAGCACCTCTAAGCCTTGCCCCCGAGCAAGCACTTCAAAGCCTTGCCCCGTGCAAG